AAATAAAACAAAAAAAAAAATAATAATTTATATTTGTATAAAAATAAAAGAAATTAAAAATGGTAACTATATTTTGGAATTATAATTTTGTATTTTGAAACAAGTGTTGAATTTAATAATGAATTAGATAAATATGATTTTTACAGCTCAAACAAATTGCTCAATATTAAACCTGTAAAGATGGATTAATTGGTACGTCGCATTAAAGCGATCTACTTATAAAGACGGGTTCTCATTTTTCGCATGAAAGTTTATTGCTTAGGCTTAAAGTGATCAATTTTTTTTTTTTTTATATTATTTCATCTCATTTTAATTAAATTTTACGTCACTCTTTTGAAGTATAAAATTACATTTTTAAAAACCTCTGTACTGTAGTAATATAAATGGAATTTTCAATTTTTCAGTATATCTAGTCTAACAACAATATACATACTTCAAATATAATTTAGTTTAGATGTAAAATATCATTTACTGTCAATTCTTTATTAAAATGTAGTAAAATGACAATAAGCGCTAACACTTTTTGTACAATTAAATTTGTCAACACTATTGGCATTGTTTAAAAATACAATTCATGCCATTATTTATTACACTCTCTTAAAAACAAGACGTTTGACTTAAACTTTAGAAATTTTTTAAATTTGAAATAAAATCAATGCAGTAATTTATAAATTTCGTATTCCAAAGTCTGGCTGTATTTCCTACAATACTAAAGTTAAAGTTGGTTGAGCATTTTCAGAGTGTGAAGAAAAGCTGCTCAGATAATATAGAAAATGAGATATACTAAATTCCAAGATTGTTTTAATAAAAAATCAAGCTGCCTTTGAAATCACAGTAAATATAATCGCAAAATTTAAAGTTTGAGCTGTAATTATTGCTGTATTGAGTTTGAGCAGTTATTATTGCTGAATTACACAGCTTTTATGATACGATTGAAGTTATAATTCCAAAATAAAGATTAAATTTATTGTAAATTTTGTTCTAGTGTCTGTGTTGTTGTTGTTATTATACGTTATTTTTAGCTTTAATTGTTGTGAAATATATTCACACATATCGCACACAAAACCTTATTCAATTATTTATTACAAAAATATTGTAAATAAAAAAAAAAATTGTTTTTATTAAATATTTCCTTTTAAATTAATTTGTAACCTATATTTTAGAAAAAAAAACAAAAATATTTATTTTTAATTTATGTAAGCAAAATTTTAAAAAATTTTTGAGACTAATCAATTTTATATTTATTTTTTTTTTTCACTTATTTTCAATATTTTTATATATTTTTTAAACTCTTAATATTTTTTTTAATTATAAAAATTATTTTTGCATTTGGTTTTTAATTTGATTTGATTTTATTTTTCTTTTTTTTTTATTTTTGTTTCTTTTTCTCTTTTTCAATTTTTATAAATATAAATTTTTTTTTTCAATTATAATTAATTTGCTTTGCTCAACAATAAAAAACATACTTATACACAAAAAAAAAAAAAAACAAATCCTTTCCTACAAAAAAAAACAATTTGGTAATATTGATATTTTCCTTTCCAATAATTAATTTTCCTTAATCCTATTCCCCAATTTATTAATTTTTTAAAATTTAAATCTTTACTTTAAACTGTTATACACACACAAAATTTTTTCTTAATTACACAATATTTAAACCACATGAATTATACACAAACAAAATATATATACACACATATATATATATATATTGGCTATGGCTACTTTCTTTTATCTACAACAAAAATATAAAACAAAACGAAAACTCCTTACCCTGCCAACAACCAACATCAACAACTGTAAACTATGTGTATTGTGATCTTCACTAACTTAAAAAAAAAATAAACAAAACCTCAAAATGGCAATTGGAAATACTTCATCGTATATCTTCAAAATGGCGATATATCAAATATTACAATATATTAAAATTTGGGGAAACTTGGAATGGTGCTCATAATATAACAAATTTTAATAAATGGGCTGAATTAACACAATTTCAATGCGCTCGCTATAAATGTTTATTTTTTAATTATGTTTTATTTTTTGTAATTTGCTCCTTTTAAAACATATACATATATATATATATATATGTAAATGTATATAAAAATTACAACATTCCGTACGTACGTATACAAAATATCATTAATATGAGCAGCCAAAGGTAGAACAAATATTGAATTACGTGAACAATTCATATTGGCTGATGGTGTTACACAAACGATGGCTGCTTTTAAACCTAAATTATCGGCAAATTCATCTAGTCGTGCCGGTTCACCATCATATACTGGTAGCGCTACTGGCCCTATAACAAAGGTAAAAAAATTCATAACATTGTCCAAAAAAAAAAATGTGTTTTGTGTACATTTTATTTTTTTTTTTTCTTAATTTAAGAGTATGCGGATTTTTTTTTTTTTCTTATTTTTTTGCACTTTATTTCATTTAATTTTTATGTTATTTTTTTAAAAGTAAAAATATAAATTTATATGTATAATGTAGTTATTTATTTGCTCAAGGACCTAATGGTGCTTCATTTTTGACAATCAATTGTCAAAATTATGAAATAGTATTGTCAAAATTTAGCATCCAGCTTTAAAATTTTATAAAAGGTAAGTAATTTAGAATATGGTTAAGCAAATAAGTAAATAATAAAGGAATTTCAAACCAAAATCATTTACCCAAAATTACAAAACATATTGGGAAAGCATGTATTCTTTATTTATTTACGTGGGAAATAAATAATTGACGAATCTCCTCTAAAACATTCATATTTTTATTTTATTAGAAATTCTTTTATAATATAATCAAGTAGTCATGACATAATTACTGTCATTAGGTACGTTTACACATACATGTTTCAATTTTCATTCATTTCCACATGCATATTTCGTGTATTTCATGACATAAATTTCATTAAATGTTTTTAAGAGATAAATTATTAATTATTTAAATTTTAAGATTTGTTGGTCATAGATTTTAAATATCTCCGCTTGAGTAAATAACAAAAATCAGACAAGAACCATTTATATGTATAAGAGATCAATCACTTAATTTGATCATAAAAACCCGTAAATTATTATTTTAATTAATTAAGTAAATTAAAAATATTTTTTCGTATCATTACGACATTATTGAAAATTTATCAATTGTTACAACTTAGTTTAAAATTAGGCCCTAGAATTTTATAAGTATACTTGAGCGATTGAAAGTAATTGATAATTTAATATTTATTTCTGCTAGAGCGGCATGGAAAATTTATAGCCCAATCTTGTATCTCGCTTTTTCGTCTCACTTTTTATTCACTTTCAAATCAGGATTCTTTTTTTGAATTGAATATGTCAATTTTCCAATAAGATTGCTCTTATTTTTTCAAATTGATTTTTGTACTCTTACTCAAATTATCAACTGGACTTATTATATTAAATAAATACTGATTAATTTTTTTATGCATTAAAAATTGAAACGGGACACGTAATACAAAAAAACTCTTCTAACTCAAAAATTATATTATGCAAATATTATGGTAATCACTCATTTTTTTCTCACTTGGCGATTAAAATAGCGGAATACATACACGATTACATTCTTAAATTCTTATTAATATTTAAATATTCACTTAAATTTTTTTTAATTATTGAGTAACTACGATTTAATTATTTACGATATAATTTTTATATTGAAAATTAAAAATAGAGTACCTCTCTATGTTCATTTATAAATAAAGTAGGTAAATATTTTAAATTAAGAGCAGACGTAAAATATAATAGTGTAAAAAAAAATGTAAAACCCAATATGTTTTGTATAGAAAACTATTCAATTTTTTGCTGTGACATATCGTAAATGTCATAGACTACGACGATTGATATGAAAAATCCTGTGTCTTCTAATTAATTTTTATTTATTCTACTATTTTTTCTCATTATTTTATTTTTTATAATTATTAGATTTATGCAAATATATATATACAATTTTTTTTTTTCCTACATATATAAATAATCAGCATGAGTATAGATTTCAATTTTTTTTTGCAAATTCTTTATTTTATATCCTGTTCCCGCCCGATCGCCCCTCCACCTCTTTTGTAAAAAGAAATTTTTCATTTTATTGTAAAATTTTAGCAAATAAATTAGAAATGCACACTTGTTTTTATATTTTAAATATTATAGTTTTTTTTCCTTATTTTGATAAAAAATACACCAAATTTTGGTTTCTTGATTATTTAAATTTTATTTTTTTTTTTTTATATATTTTTTTGTACATAAAATTTATTTTATAAATGCAACTATTTTAGTTAAATTGAACTATTGAAATTATTCTATCGAAAAAAAAATTTTTTTTTTTGCTACATTGGTTTTTAAAATTATTTTTAATTTTATTTACGATATTAAATATGGCATTTTGTGAACACAATATAATTTATTATACATATATAGTTATAAAGAAAGTTTAGAGGTTAGAATCTTAATTAAAGCAAATTAATAGGTTTAGAGCTACAATATTGTCTAATAACATTTTGAATTCTATATTATTAAAAAATTTTTAGTGTTTTAATTTTTATTTTGCTAATTATAATTTTTGTGTTTTAAATTGTCATGCGCAATTATGCAATGGCAAATATTTTCTAATCACTCTATTTCTATAGTAATTAAGTGAGATATTTCAAAGAGGAAACAATTTGTATAACACTTCCAATTTTTTTTTTTTTGTTATCATATTTAAAAAAAATTTTTTGGTTAACGCTTTCATTGTTGAAAAAAAAAATTAAATTTTATTTTTTTTTTTGTGTCCTAATATTTGCGTTAAAATGATCATTTACAAATAATTAAATTTAAAACTTGAAAATGAAAAACTTAAAATTAAATGGCGCAACTTTGATTTCTTAATTTTTTTTTTTTCTTTAATATAAAAGAAAAAATTATCACGTTATAAAATCTTCATTTTCTTAAAAAACAAAAATTCAAAATATCAAACAAAAAAAAAAAAAAAACAAATTAAATTTTTAGTTGAAGAACACTTAGCCGAATTATTGCCAATATTTGAAAAACTTCGAGCACAGGAACAAATTCCATGCGCGTATCCATTGCATATGGGTGCTAGTGGTACTATGTTTGTACGTAATAATAATAGTAAATCAGTACCATTAAGTCCTCATGCACCACATTGCCATCCTTCAACACATTGGGTAAGTTATTTTGTTACAATTTTTTTTTTTTTTTTCTAGAATCAAAAATTACGATAAAACAGGAATTCCTAAAACAAAACAAAACAAATTTACAAATAATTATTAAATATTTTAGAAATATTGAAAAAATATTTCGAAATGTTGAAAAATTTTAAAAGTTAAATTATATTTACAGTTACTCTTCACCACACAAATTTAATAATATTTTTTTTTTTTTAAAATGATTTAAAAAAAGTTTATTTATACGCATAAATATAAAATGTGTTCATTTATTATTTTTATAAAAATTATTTAAAAACATATTTTAATGCTTCCTTTTTTTTATTTCTTATTTTTTTTTTTTTTTTTGTAAAATATTAGGTACGAGAACGTTCAACCCGTTCAAGTGGTATGTCACGACCATCAAGATCATCATTATCAGCATCAACACCAGATTCATTAAGTGACAATGAAAGTAGTTTAGGTGTCGCTGGACGTTATACACCTCGTAAAGTATCACAAACACCAAGATCTGGTTTAACACCAGGTGGTTCAAGACCAAATTCAAGACCTGCTAGTCGACAAGGTTCAAAACCACCATCAAGACACGGTTCTAATCAATCATTAGATAGTACAGGTTAGATAAAAAAAAAAAACAAACGAACAATACAAATTCATATTATTTAATTTCAAAATTTAATTTCAAAATTTAAATATTAAAATTTTATTATTTTTTATTTTAGACGATACACCATCACGCATTCCACAACGACGACCAACAAATTTCTCTACGACATCATCAACAACATTACAGGGTACACCAACGAGTAGACCAGCTAGATTACAAGTTGGTACACCGACATCATCACGAACAAATGGTACTACAATAACTACAACAACAACAACTAGAAAAACAATGTCTGGATCAGCAAGTCCAGCTCCTACAAGGTAATTTTTTTTCAATTATCAATCAAAAAATCATAAAATATATTTTATGTTAATATAAAAATAAATCATTAATTTTAAGAATATAAAATTATAAACATTATTATTTTTAAGTTTAAAAATAAAAAAATTTCAAAATTTTCTTATTAATATTATTGATATATATACAAAATTTTATGTATTTCATGGAATGAAAATTTTTAATTGTTTATGTTAACAAATTTTTTTTTTTTTGTAAAAATAATGATATTTTTAATTGAAAAAAGTAATACAGAAAAATTTTTTGAGATTAAGTAATTGTTGCTTTTCGAAATTCGATTTTCGAATAGTATTTGTAATTCGTAACATAATCTAAGAAAGATTATACTGATAAATGCCTCGATTGTAAAGTCTGTTGCACCATAAAAGTCAAAAGAAACCTATTTTGGGTGTAGATCAATGTGATTCAGGTCAATATATTTAATGTAAATGAATGACTTATATTGGAATATTTAGATTATTTTATTGTTAATTCAATTTGACTCAAATTAGCCTTTGTACTTTTTAAAATATTTAAAAACTTTGAACAACAAAATTTGAAGTAATTATTTTGAATCGAATCAAATTTAAATTTCTCATATATTTAATAAATTTTTCTTGATTTTAATTGCTTTCATAAAAAAAGAATTCAAGAGAGATTGATTTAATGCGAAATTTTTCATTAATGAAGATTGTTTAAAAAAAATTTTTTTTGTATTACAAATTTCTTATGTTTTTCTTCATATTTATTATGCATTTTAACTTTATTATATAAAATAAATCATTTTGTAATCTTAACTCAATTTAATAATAATTATATACTAGTTTTAAAATTCATAATTATTATAAAATTTCATATATATACGAATTAATTAAATATTCATTATTCATAATTTAGTAATTAAGTTAATAAAAATTCTTAAGCGAATGCATTATTATTAAATAACAAAACTATTCTCAAATAGTTCATAAAATAATATTAAAAATATTATCTATATGTTTTCGCTTTAATTAATTATTTTTAACCTTTTATTTAATTTAATTTTCCTTAATTTTTTACTTTTATTTATTCTTTTTTTTTTTTTAATTTCATACGTATATAAAAAATACATTATACTACCACCTACATTATTTAACCAAAAAAAAAAAAAAATTACAAACAAATCATGGATAATTTTCAAAATCACTAATAAAAATTGGCTGAAATTCATTTGATAATTAAATAAAAATAAATTGGATTTATTGTTGGTAAATAAAACAAAATAAATTAAAATTCATATTTCATCATTGTCATTAAAAAAAAAAAATAATTAAAAAAATTAAACAAAATCAGTAACGGTGGAATTAGTAGATCATCTAGCATACCTGCATTAACTGGTATTTATAGGAGGTAAAAATTAAAACATACTCTTTTTTTTTTATTCTCAAATTAAAATTTGAATTTGCATTATTTATAAATTAAGTAATAAAGTAAAAGTAAGAAAAAAAAAAATAATTAAAAAATATTAGATTAAAATTTTAGAATTTAAATTAATACTAAAAATACATAATAGAAACTAATCCAAAAACAAAATGAACATTTTGGAACAAGAAATTTATTTTTGCATTTTTGAAATCATCTTATATTTTTTTATTATTTTAATCATAAAATTAACTGCATGAAAATTAATTAGAAAAATTTATAAAAATTCAATGATTATTATAAAATTTAATGATTAATTCTGGTAAATATTATTAATTTAATAAATCAATAATAATTTAATTATTGATTAATTTATTCATTTTAATTATTTTATTTGATTATCTCGAGGAGTCTCCACATAAGCTCACGTATAAAAAAATTAATTGCAGCATGAAGAAAGAATTAATTGTAACATGGGATGAAAATCCAATCCAAAACTAAAAAAGAAAAAAAGAATGCTAAAATTATTATTTTAATTATTGAATTTTTTTTTTTATAAATTTTTTTAATATTAAGGTGTAGATTAAGTGTAATGAAGAATTGTCTTATCTTTGTTTATTTTTAAAAGCATGTTTTAGTAAACTTTTCATACACAATATATATTTTTATTTTTTTACTTAGCTATTTATAAATTAAATTTTCTTAGCTTCCTTTATGTTAAATATAAATATTATTTCCTAAAAGCAATATTGTAACAAAATATTAAAATTTATTTAATATTTTGATATTTAAATACAAAAATCTGAAACATAATAATTTTATTCCAAAATAAATACGATTTTGTTCTGTATTACAAAGAAAAGAATATAGTCTGTATTTATATTTTTAAAAATACGGGCAATTATACAGAATCAAAAATTTTTGTATATGAAAGATATATTTAAGGACCAATTACGAATTTCAATATTTTTATTAAGTAAATAAAAATATGAGATAATTCTCTTGAAAGGGTATTTTCGAAAATTCAGTTCTAAACTTAGATATTGTAAGTCAGTTCTAACTTTAAATGCATATCTGAATAATAGAAAATTTCCAAAATGATTGCAACAGGAAAAAAAAAATGATTCTTAATTTATAGATTTATACAAATAGAAATTCATAATTGGCCCTTAAATGACATTTTTATAAATGACTTAAATATGACTTAAATGACAAGAAAATTATGACTGTCTTTAGAATTTTGTAAGATCTGTATTATACTTTGTCTTTAGAATAATAAAGGTTTTATTAGTGTTAAAGTTTCTGGAATCGCTAATAAAAACAAGCATTTTTGAGTAATTATTCTAAATACAAAAAGTAAATTAAGATCTCCAAAAAATCATTTTCGTAGCCCTGTTGCTCTAATTCATTTCATAATTTTGATTAAAAACTCAAGTTAAGATTTCATAAATTTTGAAAAAAAACCCATTTTAAAAATGCTAAATATCAATTAAAAAGTAATTAAGAAGGTCAAGTTAATTCAAGGAATCTTAAACCCTTTTTAGGTTTCATTTACACAAAATATATTATTTTCTTTTATAATATTATATTTGTTATACGGAGTGTGCTTATTGTTTTCTGTTTTTCAATATTTAAGTATATTTTTTTGTTTTAATTTTTATATTAAAATTTTCAAAAATCAAAATGCTTTTTATGTTTTAATTTTCAATTCAATATAAAAATTAATTTTAAATTTTTTCTTAAATTTTTCATATCTTTTGGTAACACAAAAAAATTTATTACAAAAACACTGTTATACTAAAACTTATGTTATATAAAAAATATAACAAATAAAAAGTCGAAATACTGTATCAAGGATACCAGTTAGACAAACATCTGCTGAAAAAACGATACCTCCATCACCATGTAGTAATTCTAGTTCAGCTTCGAATAGTCTTCTAATAACTAATTCGGGGTAAAGTAAAATTGGATTCGAAAATAAATAAAAATTGTGATGTTATAAAAGCTTTGAGTTTTTAAGTTTTGAAAAGCTAAATTTTTGGGTTTTTACTTTATTTATGTTGTTTTTTTTTTTTGTTTTTTTTTTTTTTATATTCGAGTTTGAAAGCAAATGAAGAAAAATTAGACAGAAGAGAATTTTGCTTTCTGAATTCATAAAATTCATTTTGATAACATTCAATTTTCATTATTATAATTGTTATATATTTAAATTATAATATTTAAAATAATTTTTTAAGTCATTTGTTTTGAGTTATTTTTTCTTTTTTAGTGAAAAAAAGAAAATTTGTGTTCGTTCGTTTTCAGTATAACATAATCTAGCGCTAATATTTCCTAAAATATATTTTTTTTTTGACAATAAAAATTGGGACTAATTTAAATTGTCACAAATTAAAATTTTATTTTTTAATGGTATATGCTATTAAAGAAATGATATATAGTTAATCAGTGGTATATAGTTCCAAAAATTTAGGTTTAGTTTGTTGGGCTCTGATAAGCTCAAGAATCATAAGACTATTTTTTAAACTATACCATTAGATCGTAGAAAAAAGTGAAAATACTTGCATATAGAATAGTAACTAAGGGTTTTTTTTTATTATATGATTGACACAGACTATAAAATAAGAAATTCCTTTACGTCTCAAGATGTGTGGCTCTTATTCTTGTCTTTATATTTTAAATATAATTAAATTTTCAATAAGATTGTATACAAAATAAAAACTATATTTTCTAATTTCAATGAATATCAAACATCCGTTTCATGTTAGTCTCGCATCATTTGACGTGATGTAGTTGTTAATCAAAACTTTTAAGTTATTCAGAATAAAATCAATATCAAAATTTTAAATTCTAAACTAAAATCTAAAATACTGTTCAATAATATCTTATCACTTTAATGATGATTCGACTAATGAAGAATACGGGTGAAGATTTTCATATATTTAGTATATCAAATCTGCTATTATCAGGGTCAAATTTTTTTTTTACTTTTTAACAATTTTTTAGTTTTAATAATTTTTTTGTCATTTTTTTTTTTATGGGTTTTTCTTTTAATAATTTTGTCTTATATTACATATATTTATTTTATAATATATATTTTTAATATTTTAATTTTTGTTTCTAAAATTTTTGTATTATTATATGTTTTTTTTTTCTTTTTTAATTTTTTAACAATATTTATTCATAAAACTTTTTCAAAATTTTAATTAAATTTTTTTCTTTTTTTAAATTTTTATGAATATTTTATCATAATTAAATCAAAAAGGCGCAATATAAGTGGTAGTTCAACACCATCTGGAATGCAAACACCTCGAAAAGGATCAATGGATCCACCAACACATCCACCCCCAAGAAAATCACGTGGTGGTACACCAACTCAACACAGAGAACCATTTAGACTTTAAATACACAAAAAAAAAAAAAAACAAGAAATATTCAACAGAGTTTCTAATGGAAACAATATGATGAAATGAGGAAAAAATTAACAAAAAAAGGCCGAATATTTTATAATAAACAAATTTATATATTTTTAAAAAATATATATATATAAAAATATATTAAAAAATTGCGCTCAAAGAAAAGAAAAAAAAAATAGTAAAAAATACTATGAAAAAAACAATTAAAATTTAAACACCTACAAAGAACATAATAATGTTTTTTTTTTTTTATATTCCTTACTTATATAAAATAGTAATTATGTAAAAAAGAAAAACAAGCAACTAATTAAATATTTGTTTAGTTAAAAATCAAATAATTCCTCTCAAATTTTTTTTGTATTATTTGAATTTAATTTTTCATGTTCAATAAAATCGGCAAAATTCGAAACAAAATTAAAATTATAATTAAAAGTAATGTTGAATATTAAACTAGAAAAAAAAAAATAAGTAAGATATATTATAAAAATGTATTAAAAAATTAAATTCAAATTCTACATTAAAAAAAAAAACTAAAATTAAATTCTCGAAATACCAATTACAATACACAAAACACACAAAATTTAATAAAATAGAACACAAAAAACTATAAGCTAAAAAGAAGAAAAGTAAAACAATAAATTTTTTTTTTATTAAAATATTAACGCTTATGTAATTAAAATAACTCTTAATTAAAAAAAATTAATATTAAAATTTTTTTTCGATAAAAACAAAACACAAAAAAAAAAAAAAGACATAAATAAAATTAATAAAAATTTTGAAAGGAAAATTAAAAAAAAAAAAAATATTTAAAAAAAAAATCAAATATTAATTTTGTAATAATTAAGCCACCCCCGCCCCGTTTCCCCCCCATCATTCTTGTAAATAATTTCTATTCTTAATTTTTGATAGGTAAAACTAAAACAAATACTAAATTAAAATTTAACATTTAATTAAAAATTAAAACAAAACTCTTTGTTAATAAATTTTTTCTTAAAAAAAGTAGTAAAAGAGGAAGAAATTTTGTAATAGAGCTATTTAAATTAAATAATAATAAAATATTTAATTAAAAACACACACACAAAATTTATCCCAATTCAAATTTATTACTAAAAAAAAAAAATAAGATACGATATGAAAAAAATTTTCCTTTTTTTTTTTTTTTTTTTTAAATATGGCTTTAATATTTTATTTTTTTTTTTTTGTTTATTATTAAAAAAATTTTTTCAATTAAAAATAAATTTTTCTTGTACAAATGAAATCGCCAGTTCATTTGTATGACAAAAATTTTTTTTATTTTGTTATTTTAAAATAATTAGTTATTTTTTTTAAATCTTATATTAAATTTGATTTTTTATATACATATGTCTGTTAATAATATAAATGTTTTCTTAAAAATAAATTAATTATTGTAGAATAATAAAAAAAAATAATTTTTTCTACAAAATCCTATATTAAATTAAAATTTACTCCAAAAAGAATATATTTTAAATTTAAGAAATACAATAATAAAATTTTATCGCCAGTTTTTGTATTTCTAAAATATTTTGTTTAATAATTTTGAATAATTTCTATTTTATATATATATATATATATATTGAAATATATATATAAAAAACTAGAAGAAAAAAATAAACTTATAATAATTAAACTAATTCATAAAATAAAAAAAACTAAATTTAAATTCAACTATTTTGCAAAAATTGCATATCTTTCTTATACATTATAATTATTAATAAATTTTTAAAATTTACCTATCTACATATATATATATTACCTATCCTACCTATGTATATTAACTAGTTATATAATTAATAATTAAAATTAATTAATATTTTCCTTTGAATTAAATTTCAAAAAAAAAAAAAACAAAACTTCTTAGTCCTAAAATTGATCAACTATTTTTTAATTAATATAAACTACTTAAATACTAAAGAAAATGTATTAAAAAATAAATTAAAAATTTAATTTAAATTCTAATTAATTCTATTTATTATATAGAATAATATTTACCTACTATTTCTGATCGAAAAATCACATACTATTTTAAATATACAATGGGTGTTTACAAAAACGTTGATTTGACAACAAATTGACTTATTCAATAATTAAAACAGTATTATTAAATAAGTCAAATTGACATTAGATCTGCAATTTGATAAATACCCAATTATTTTGTTTCTTTTTGTATATTTCTCTTTTTTTTTTTTTTGTTTAGATATTACCTATTTTTTTTGTCTAGTTTTAACACATTTAATTTAATAAATAAATAAATAAATAATAATGATAATAATCGAAATTTTCTATAATGGAGAATCTTTAGTTAATTAAAAAATTTAAAAAAGAAAGGAAAAATAATAAAAAAAATAAAATAAAAACCTAAAACCATATTTAATTAGTAAATCAATTATAAAATAAATAAAAAATTTAAGTATTTAATAAAAAAAAAAAAGGAAAAATTGTTATTTTGTAATAAACTAGAAAAAAAAACTTATCAAATCAAAGAAAAAAAAAAAATACAAAAAACATGTAGAAAACGAAAAAAAAAAAAAGGAAAATTATTTAAATTAATTTTGTAAGAAGCGTAGGTGTTTCTTTTTTTTTTATACAAAACAATTAAAAATTATAATATAAATTAATAAATTATAAAATATAATATAATAATAATAAAAAAAGAAAAAGAAATCTAAATTAAAATGTAATAAAATAAAAATGAAAAATGGAAAAAAAAAAATTTACTAAAAAAGTCATAATATTAAGATTTAATTTTTACTTACTACTACCCTTTTAATTTAACTACTTATTAATTAATTGATTAAATTAACTTTAACGTTTCCTTCATATTTTTTGTTTTTGTGTTTATTTCTACAATTTTTTCATTTTTATTATCATTTTTTTTTTTCTTTTAGTTTATTAAATTAATTTTTTGAATAATTTACAGTAAAAAACCCAGTTTATTTTTTGTTTGTTTAATAAAACGTAAATTAAATGTAAAAATTAACTTAACTAATTATTTTTTGTTTATATATATATATATATATAATTTTGTTCTCTTTCGTTTTGTGAATTTTTTTTTTTTTGTAAATGTTTATTTAATTAAAAAAAATAAAATTAAAAAAAAAAAATAAATAAAAAATACAAGTTGTAATTTTAAGAAAAAAAATTAAAAAAAAAAAAACAAAAAGAATATAACAAAAATTTGCTTAATAAAAAAATAATATTAAAAAAAAAAACAGAGAACAGTTTTTATATTTTTGATATTGTTTAAAAAAAAAAACAAGAGCTCCTCTCGAAGTTTGGAACTAAAGGCATATTTAAGATTATCATAAGCTTGATATGACTGCCAAATATTATTAAATAAAAGGAAATAAAAATAACAACATGCAACCGAAATATTTTCATACATTTGCAGAAAAAATGAATGAAGTAGCCAAAGTAACTAGTAAAGACAGGAAATTTGAAAAGATTTTCCTCCACAAACTGGGTTTTGAAGCTGTGACCAACTGTTTTGCAAGCGGACATTTTTTTTTAGAATTGAGAGTTGTGAACCTCACTAGATTGTTATTTTACTTGCTATTGAAATTTTAAATTGTTGTTCACCTACAAAGAATATTGTAAAAAAGAAATTATATTTTTATACTTACCTTCTAATAACATTATTACTCCTACATATTTGTCCATTTGATGTCAGGAAACCAAATCAAGTTTTACAAAATATTTTTGGCAGAACACCAAACCAATTGCCTAAAAAAAAAAAAAACTTCAATATAAACAAGGAATAAGTAAATGTACAAAGGGGTGCTTAAGAACTTGGAAAATTCGTTTTCATTTGGTGTAAGAACGAGAACTTTTGACCTCTAAAAATGAGACGGAACACCTTATTTAAATTTCTCATAACATAATACCTTGAGTTTTTTTGAGGTTGTCATAAGAAGGATTAACACAATGAAACACTATGGACTATCAAGGATGGTCTACGTAAAGTGTTTTTTTTTAATTGTAAGTTTTAATGGATGTAACCTGGAATATTTTTTAAAAATATACTAAGGCTTAATGTACATGCCTTACAAGAAAATATAAAGTAAAATAATTTCATCCTAAATCATATTCGAGTATTAAATCAAAAAGGAAATAAATAAATTTTTAGGCTTCCAAATGAAACACTAAAATAAAAATTGCAAATAATTGCATTTCAACTTGAAACCACTATAAATATGCACTGCCAGCATAGTAGGTCATAGTGCCATGACCTACTCAACATGTACACACATCTGTTGAATACTCCGTCTGTTAATTTTTAATAAGAACTATTTTATTTGATTTTCAGAAGTCTTGTAAACATTTAAAAAAAGCTTTATTACCAAAAGCTTTGTTTTTATATTATGAGAAAAACATTGTTTTTTCTACTGGTGATTTTCATATCTAAATCAAAGAGAAAACGAGTAAAATTTCTCTTTTATAATAAAAAAAAAAGCTTTACAGATTTGAGCCGTATCTATTACTCTTAATTATATTTTGGATATTGTTGTACTCTTAAAGTTTGTATGGGGACTCCCCATGGAAGTTATGAATATTTGTATTTATTATAAATTTATATTATTAAAAGTTAAGGTAAAGCGCAAAATAAAATTATTTTACTCAAATTTGAAAATTTTAATATAAACATTTTTTTAAATAGGAAGATTTGAGAAATGGAATCGTAAACTGTTTTGTTATTATTGCTTTGTTATCTGATATACCGCGCAAATTGAGACATCACTAGTCAAATATCAATCGACAAAAAACAATTAATGCTATTTATATAAGTCAATAAATTGGCATAAAAATAATAATTGTTAATTACAAATGACGGAACGGTAAGGAATTTGTACTAGACATCATTATTTTTTTTTTCTAATACAGTACATGTTGAATTTTACCGCAGATAATTAACACAGGTAATCAAATTTAACATTGTATGTATATTTTCTTTATGAATTTTCCAATTTTCCCTACATTTCTTTTACAAAATCCTATTAAGCACGACACGTTTTGAAAAATTTATCATCATTTAGCGCTAGTATGTGTAATGTGTAAATTTATGTAGTTTGATTTCTAATAATTTACAGCAAATTTTTATTTTAAT